TGTTTGCAGCAGCTTTTTGGAGTGAACTTAAAGCTTGAATTCTTCCCACTTGGCAGCGAAGAAGTTCGTTTAAACATTTTGCTATATTCCGTCTTAAATCACTTTCAAGGACACGATCTTTTAGCTGATTTTTTAAGTCAGTAACTCTTTCTTTACACTTGCGAATCTCGTCCATCTTCCGGTTAAGTTCGTATTGTCGACTCCTTATCTCACTTAATTTATCCTTCTTTTCTTTATATAATACTTCTTTTTCTCGCATTTCCGCTTCCAATGAACTTCTTTGATTTCGTAAATTATCAATCGCCCGTCCAAGTTCGCTTAGTCTATGTTTTTTCTGCTCGATTTGTGGCACATCTATACTGGGGAGAATATTTCTACATTCTATTTGCACTTGGGAAAAGATTTTTTCTCCACTATACTTGGAAATGCTCACGTTGTAACGTACATTGGCACCAAAATAAACGGTAATTGGCTCAGGAATTTGCTCGATAAACTCTTTAACTTCATTACCGCCGATTGGAATGTTGTGCAATCTGTATAAAGAACATAAGTAACCTAATACTGCATCGGGCCCACCTATCAAGTCGATCATATAAGCGTCGAAGCCGTATGGGCGAAGATTTATTATTGGAATAACAGGCAAAAATTTTGCATCCGATGGAGCGTGACCTATATTTACAGTTAATTTCCTTTTAATACATAGCTCATTAATTAAAAGACTCATATCATTTTTGCTCTCACAAGAGAAGGCCTGGAAGTCACGGAACATTATTGTATTTTCCAAGTATTTGGTGTGATCAGGGTTGCGGACGTTTATCTGTAAGATGAAAAAGCGAATATAAGGAGATTGCTTCCAATCTGTTCCAAACGGACATCTTCTGTACTACCTCAAGCATAATAGGTTTATAAACGCGTGCTTCAAATAAATTCTCGTTCTCTTCTATCCATTTCATAGCTTTGCATACGTCGGGAAAATTTTGTTGTAAGAACAATACCTTCTG